TGAGCTATAGCCTCCCTGCCAAAAGAGTTTTTTAATGATCGTATATTTTAAAGTCAGGCCATTAGAATGATAGGATTGAATGTGTTTCCTTTCCCACGCTGTCAGAGCCATAAGTGGGTAACATGACAACCCCACGGCCAAGGGGAAGTTCAGAGCTGGTGGTGCAGGCTGGGTTACCGTTGCCCTCTGGAATCCGCATGCTCAGAGCTCAGGTGCCCTCTGGAGGGCTCCCCAGAACTGAAGACTCAGGAAAGGACACTGAAAAACTGTCATGCCTGCTTTCGGGAGTTGGGACTGCGGGCTGACGTGGCCCTTATTTTACCATAAGCCCTTCCATGCAAGTCACGACGCGTGAAGCCCCAGCAAAGGCTGTTAGGTGGAGTCCACTCTCATTCCAGTGCCACGTCCACCTCTGTTCTAAAGAGGACACACAAGCTAGGACCCTGATGCCCCTGGAGGCAGCCCAGGCTCCCCTTGGCTCAGTGTTAGTCACTCTGCTGACCTCCCGCTGAACCCTCCCACTGCCAAGTGAGTCACCCTCCACAGCCTTGGTTACAGGTAAGCTTTCTTTTCATTTCCAGCCAACATGTCTCACACCCACAGGAAGAGTATTCACCGGAAGGAAAGGTCTGGGGCCTGCCTATGAATCACAGCTGTGCGTTTTAGTAACTAAGGCTGCTTTGTGCTCCCTGAGACAGCCTGCCTGCCAGGAGGCCTCAGTGAGTCAGGTACTGGACAGAAGGAGCGGGAGTAACAACCAGGACCTAGCACGCAGCAGCTTTGAAGATTTCCCTTCCCTTCCCCCGGGCTCACATCAAAATGTTGGAGCATCTCAGAGGTTAGTCTGGGTCCCTTTCCCCAATTGCATGGCTTTAAATACCAGTGAGGAAGACTCAAATGTATGTCTCAAGCCCTATCTCTTGTGTATCTAAGTGCCTAATAAAGCTCTTCACTGCAGCTCCCAATAGGCATTCAGATTTAATGATCAAACCAGAAACTTTGAATCTCTCCCTTCCCCCTAAATTTCCCATCCCCTAACCCTCCCTGTCATAAGAAATGACATTCCCAGCTACATACTGGCTCAGGCCCAACTCCTAGGGCTCATTCTTGATTCTGCTCTCTTCCCCACCCCTGCATTCGATCCATCATTAAGCCTTTCCTATCTGCCTTCAAAATATAGCCCAAATCCAGGAACGCCCTTCTCTGCCATCTCAATCCAAGCCATAATCTTCTAGGCCTTTGGTTTGTAAGTAGCGTCTTAACTAATATGCCTCCTCTGTTTCTGCCCTCTGCTCCCTAGAGGCTACTCTTGACATAGCAACTACAACCCTTTTTAAAATCTCCAACCAGTTCACATCATTCCTCTGCTAATAACCCTCCTTAATGACTTTGCATCACAGTTAGAACAAAGCCAGACTCCTTACCAGGCTGATAATCACCTAGGAGACTTAGCCGTCACCCATCTCCCTGGCCTCAGTTCTCACCACAATTTCTCTCACCCTCTCTTCCTCAGCCATACTGGCCTTTGCTGATCTTAAAACACAAGATCGTTCCTCCTAGACATGTTGCACTTGCTGTTTATTTCCTTTTCCAGAACTTTACATGGCTGCCTCCTTCTCAGCACAGATCTCTGCAGACAGGGCTCCTCTGACCCCTACCCACACTGATATATCACTTCACACCCACTAGCATGGCTGTAATCAAATAACAACAGAAAGTAACAAGTGCTGGTGAGGACGTAGAGAAATTGGAACTCTCATGTATTGCTGCTGGGAGGGGAAAAGGGTTCCAATCACTGTGGAAAAGTCTGGTGGTTCCTCAAAAACTTAAAGTTATCATATGATTGAGCAATCCCACTTCTAGGTACAGACCCCAAAGAACTGAAAGCAGAGATACAAACAGATACTTGGATGACAATGTTCATGTCAGCATTATTAACAATATCCAGAAGGTGGAAGCTACCCAGAGGTTAACAGTTGGATGGATAAACAAAATGTGCTGTATGTATTGAGTGAAATACTATTCAGCCATGAAAAGGAAGTAAGTACTGATATATGCTACAAAATTATGTTAAGTGAAAGAAGACAGGCACAAAATGTCCCATGTTGTATAATTTGGTTTACACAAAATATCCAGAATAAGTAAATCTTTAGAGACAGAAAGCTGATTAGTGATTGCACAGCTGGTGGGCTGAGGAGAATGGGGAGTGTCTGCTTTATGGTTAGAGGGTCTCCTTGGGGTGATGGAAATATTTTGGAACTAGATAGAAGTGGTAATTGCACAGCACTGTGAATGTATTAAATGCCACCAAATTGTGTACTTTAAAATGGTTAATTTCATGTAATGTGAATTTCATCTTAGCTACAAACATAAAAATGGCCCCCACTGGAAAAGTTTCAGGATATTGGACTTAGAATGACATTGAAAGTACAGGCAACAAAAGAAAAAATAAGCAAGTTGGATTTCATCAAAATTAAAAACTTCTATCAAAGGACACTATCAAAAGAATAAAAATGTGACCCATGAAATGAAAGAAAATATTTGCAAATCATACATCTGATAATCAGATATTTGATATCCAAAAGATGTAAAGAGCTCCTACAACTCAACCATATAAAAGCACCAACAACTCAATTATAAAATGGGCAAATGACTTGAACAGACATTTCTTCAAAGATATACATGGCCAATAAGCACAGGAAAGGATGCTCAATATCACTAATCATTAGAGAAATAAAAGGGAAAACCACAAAGAGATACCACTTCACATCTTTTAGGGTGGCTATTATGTATAGCAAATAATAATAGCAAGAGTTGGCAAAGATGTGGAGAAACTAGAACACTTGTTCATTGCTGCTGAAAATGTAAAATGCTGCAGCCACTGTGGAAAATGGTATGCCGAGTCCTCAAAAAATTAAACAGAATTAACATATGATCCGGCAACTCAAATTTGGCATATATACCCAGAAGAATTAAAAGCAGGGACTTGTACACTCATATTCATAACAGCATTATTTACTATATGCAAAAGGTGAAAGCAACCCGTGTCCGCTGACAGATAAATTAACAAATAAAATGTAGAATAGACATACAATGGGCTGCTAATCAGCCTTAAAGAGGAAGAAAATTCTGATTCGCTAAAAAGTGGATGAATCTTGAGGACATTATGCTAAGTGAAGTAAGTCTATCACAAAAGGACGAATACTGTCTGATTCCAATTATATAACATACCTAGGGTAGTCAAATTCAGAGGGACAGAAATTGGGGTGGTGGTTGCCAGGGGCTGGGAGGAGGGGAGAATGGGAAGTTACCGTTTAACGGGTTCTGAGTTTCAGTTTGGGAAGATGAAGAAAGTTCTAGAAATGACGGTGGTAATGGTTGCACAATAATGTGAATGGATTTAATGCAACTGTATATTTAAAAATGGTTAAGAGATAAATTTTATGTTATGTGTATTTCACCACAATAAAAGAAAATATATATATTGTCCCTGACCCCAGTTACCATTGGACATTTTATTACGTGTTTATTTGTCTGCCAGCTCATCGCCGTTTTCCCTACGGAAGGGAAGCTACGCTGGAGCAGACTGGCTGAGCTGTTTAGTGCTGGATCGCAAGTGCTCGGACAGAGCCTGGGAAGCAATAGGCATTCAATAAAGTTTTGAATAAAATATTTTCTTTACTTGTTTGTATGTTTGTTTGTTTGTTTTTTCACTTGCTTATTTTCTGACTCCCTGTTGGATGTAAGCCACATGAGGCAGCAGCCTGGTTAGTTTTGTTCTGCTTTGGGTCCAGTGTCTAAACCAGGAACTGCCACCCAGCAGGGACTCCAGAAATGTTCACCAAGTGAATGAAAAACCCCATCCCTGTGCAGACGCGGGAGCTTGAGCTGTCAGAGTAGAGCATGTGCTGGGCGTGCATGAGGTCCTGGGTTCAATCCCCAGTGCCTCCTTTACGACATAGGGGCTTGTCATGAAGATCTTGGGCTCTGCTGCAAAGTGCTACGGCAAGTCCCAAGCGGGACAAAAGAGCCCAGTTTGAAAATCACTAGCCCAGCCATTCCTTGTGACCCTCTGGAGACCAGGGTTCCCGTTCTCACTGCTCCACTCACCCAAATGACTCGGGATGATTCCCCTTCCAAACCTAGTCTATAAAACACTGGTCTACAAAACAAGAGTGATCAGCCTGGGTCTGCCTGCCTCCCGGAGTATGACGAGGATTTGACTAAGTCGCACATGGAAAGGGTTTCCCCATCTACACAAGTGGCTAGTTATTTCACAACCTCAAGCATCACTGTTGGATGGGGCATACACAGAAACAAAAGCACCAAAAAGACCTTCTGGCAGCCACTCTGGGGGTGCAGCAGCTCTTTTCTTAGAGCACACCTCCTCCAGGGTGTGCCAGGATTTCACACTGACCACACCCATGAGCATGACCCAACCTTGACTGTGTTTTCAGGAAAAATTTCCATGAAAGGGATGCAAAGCTCCTGATTTGCCTTCCTTCCCAGTCGATGGCAAACACTTCGGGCAGAGTTAAAACTGGGACCTCAGCCAGCTGCTCTACACACAGCACTTGGGAATTCCATCTTCCTTAGGACCAATCAGTTTTGCCCACTGGTGGTGAAGTGGGCTCCTCCACCCTACTCAGTCTCTCTCCAGGACAAAGCAAATCTGAGTAGAAATGTTCGGAAGGATAAGTGTGGCTCCCAGTAGCTGCATGACCTTGAGAACATAAGCCTTATTCAGCATCTCACAGAAAAGCCACTGAGCCAGATCCTGAGTCGACACACCAAAATGTTAGTTTAAAAAAAATCCAAATGTGTATTTCAGATTCCTACTGTGTTTTGGCACTTATTTGAGATGGATACAGGAGGTATGGGAGAGGGTGGAGGAGGAGAAACATTAAAAATGCAAATGAACACACCACACCAAAAGTCTGCAGCCATCTAGAGGTTAGGAAGGGGGCTGAACAAAGCCACGCAGAGCACACACCCAGTACCTGCAGAGGTTCAGGGTTTGGAGGCAACAGGATGATGTTATTCACGCCGGAGTCCTCTTGCTGAAAGCAAAGGGTCTTGCTGTTAGGACAGGCCTCAGCGAACGGGATCCCCCAAAGAACCAAAGAGATGGTCTTGGCTGGTTTCTACTCCCAGCCTAACCTGCCGGGGGTGCTCCCACCTTGCCCACAGCTACCCAGGCGAAGTTAGGCAACAGAGAGGAAGGACCCTGCAGCCCTTGTATGAAGGTGTATGAAGGAGGCAAGGGCCAAGGCTAGGCAGGCCTGTCCCTCATCCTTTGTACTGGTGATGGGGCTCGTCCTCAATGGAGATTCATTCAGACCTGCATCTTTCTTTCCAAGAGTTCACTTGTACGCAGGATGCAGGGACCTCCAAGTGCATCTTCACAGAGAAAAAGCTTCTGAGAGAGAGGCCCGAGCTCGCGGGTGGGATGGGGGACCGTGTGGAGGCAGAGAAACTAGTTTGCAGGTGTTTGCAGTGAGCCAGGGGTGAGGTCATAGGGTTGTGACGGTGGGGATGGAGAGGAAAAAGCTATTAGAAAAAAGACTTCATGGATATGTAGTACATTTTTGTCTTTTGAGAAAGTGCTCTAAGCCACGCTAGGCCCACCGTTCCCCTGCAGGCAAGGGCACGTGACTCAGGCCAGCTAATCAGAGTATCCACGTTCGGGGACACAGAGGTTGATTCCAGAGAGGGCACATGACACAATCAGGGCCAGTCAGACTCCTTAGAGGGGACTGACTGGGAGGCTGGACCACGAGCTGGAAGGAGTGTGGAAGCGTGGAGCTGCCTGTGGGGCTGAGGTGCCTCCCTGAGGACTAAGGCATCACAGAAGAAAGAGGAGCAAGATCTGGATAAGAGAGATCTCCAGCGTCATCTTTTGAGCCTCTGGACTCAGTGACTACTGCAGCTAGATCCTCTCTGTGGACTTCTCAGTTCTAGAAACCAAACAAGCCCCTTCTCTGCTTTTGGCCATTGGAGATAAGCTTCTGTCTCGTACAGCCAAAAATGAGTTCTCATTAAACAGAAATTCGGAAGGCTAAATGGCCAGTCCATCCATCCACCTATTCATCCATCAATCAGAGAGTGATTTACTAAATATGGAAAGTAGGAATGGGTGGAGTTAGAGGTGACCTCCAGTCTTGAATGGTAGCATAGGTCATGGTACCCAAGAGGGGGAATGCAGAAAGATA